CTATGTAATAATATTCCAATATGCTTCCTTGGGAAAACACCAGAACAGTATGCATAAGTATATTATGAATTCTCTCCCTTATAGTTAATGATAAAAACAGCTACCATTTGAGAACATCCTTGGTCCAGGCACTGTGGTGACTTCTATACATCCTCACCCCATTTTAATGCTCCTGACATCTATGGGTAACTAAAAATAACTAATACAACAACCATAGGTATCATTAGCCCTATGGCACAGATGAAGAAACTGAGGCTCGTTGGCTAACTTGAGATTACACAAAGATGTCAAAATTTATTCTAACACCTTCCCCTTTAACCACTACCCCCATCATGCAAAAGAAATATGCGTGGGTTAGGGGTTATTTCATGAAGCATGGATGCAAGGATTCCACACTTCATTTACCCCAAAGGAAAAGTCCCCCTACAGACAGCTACACAAGCCTCACATGGAATCTCCTCAGTCTGGTCGGGCCAGAGCTGTCCTGGCTGTAGCTCCTGGGGACTGCCTGAAGGAGGCCCTGCCAATCTGCTTATCGAGGAGTCTAGCGTGAAATCAGTTACATATAATCCCTTCCTGGACCACAGAGATAATTCTGCAACAACTTAGGTATTTGATCTGTTGAATTACATTATTACAAGCACAGATAATCCTTTCATGAGTCCTTACCAGAAGAACTGAATAATGTAATTTTGCTGGGACAGTCACAAGAAAACCAAATTCTTCCAGGTTACTGACACAGTTGATTCTAAATGGCAGAGTGCAAAAGTAAAGATGCCTTGGACAAAAACCTCACGAAAAACAAGGTATGATATGGTCAGACTAAAGCTGCAAAGGGATACTCCTGCTCTTCCAGCAAGATGCTGGCGGAACACCAACACCTCCGCCCCCAAGATGAAGGTGACAAGGGCTAGTTTTGACAGAGAAACTAATAACCTAGCTGGGAAGCAAAGAATGTGCACCAGAAGAGTAAAACAAACCCCGAACAGTGCTGGGAAAAGTGAGGACCAGAGACAGGAACAGGAGGGAGGAGATTGGGGCAAGAAGTGTGTGTGTGGGGGGGGGGGGGGGGGAGGGGGAGGGGGAGGATCCTGGCAGGAGGCAGGAAAAGGTTCTTGTGGGCACAGAAAACCTGAATAAAGCCCCAGCCGGTTTGGCTCAGTGGACAGAGCTTTGGCCTGCAGACTGAAGGGTCCCAGGTTCAATTCTAGTCAAGGGCATCTACCTAGTTGTAGGCTCAATCCCTGGTCCTGGCCAGGGCATGTGCGGGAGGCCACCAATCAATGTGTCTCATATCGATGTTTCCTTGCCCTCCCTCTCTCTTTCTCCCGCCCCCCACCTTCCATTCTCTAAAAAAAAAAAAAAAAAAAAAAAAAAAAATCAATGGAAAAATATCCTTGGGTGAGGATTAACAAACAAATAAAAAATAAAACCTGAGTAAACCTTTTTTGACTTGATGAGAAGACGAGTCTATAGAAATAATAATAATTCAAACAGAGCAGGTAAGAGAAGGCTCCTAAATGCCACATCAAAACATTCAGTTTAAAAGCATGAACTGTGTAAACACATAAGACTCCTAGCAAGTATTGCTGGTAAATGGGATGGAGCTTACTGTTTTTCAGTCCTAAATAATCTGCTTTCTTTTGGACATAGTCCTCCTGGTTGCCAACGACTGAACCCTGAACTCTGTCTAGGAGTAGATTCAAAGAGCTCTGTCCAGCACTGTTCTCAACCTTTCTGTCCCAGGTTTAAAATATGTAATAAATCACATACAATTTGGTGCTTAATGCCAGAGTTGAATTCTTAAAAATAATATTTAATATTCTGACAAGTTTACTTGCAAGAATTAGTTTTATATTTTAAAATATCAAGCAAAGTAAAGATGCCTTGGACAAAAGCCTCATGAAAAACGATATGATATAGTCAGACTAGTTTTTCCTCATAAAACTAAAAAGGTGAGTGAGTCCTCTTATAAAACTCCTTTTTTAAAAAATTACACCCCTGCCCAGGCTGGTATGGCTCAGCTGGTTGGGTATTGTCCCATGCACCAAATGGTCACCGGTTCAATTCCTGGTCAGGGCACATGCCCAAGTTTTGGGCTCCATTTCCAGTAGGGGGGCATGCAGGAGGCAGCCAACTGACGTTCCAATCACACATTGATGTTTTCTCTCTCCCTCTCCCTTCTTCTCTTTAAAAAAAATCAGTTAAAAAAAATAATTAATTGCATCCCTGCCTAAGCTCAAATAATGGATTCATTTACAGAAAATCTAGCAAAGTTAGAGATCAAATAGCCCTGAACCTGAGTTATCTAAAGCTACTCTGTGGTCAGGATAGCCAGGCAAGGCCTCAAACCAGTACCAGGTATTTCAGGAGGCAGTGTGCACACTTGTGGTTTTGTGGTCTTCAACCGTCTTGCCAGCCTGGAGGTCTCTGGCTGGCCAGGGACAGCAAGTGACAGTGTGCAGCCTGGCTCAGCAGAATCCAGCATAGGAGAGTCTGCACCTCCAGAGATGCATTCCCTGCTGAAATCTCACTGCTGTGGCTCTTCCTACCCTTCCAGGGACCTAAAGACCCTGAACAGGCAAATTGATGAGCAATATTCTCCAGCTGGAGGAAAAGGCAAAAAGGAAAAACTTTCTACTCATCTGTTTTCATTTCAAATGGAAGCAATCTGCTGATATAATAATGTATGGTCTTATGGTCACTTGTGTCCTTCTGGCCTATAATGTCTATGGATCTCATACATATTTTTCTCAAAGCTCCTCTTTGAAGCACCCTGCCTGCACCTGGCTTACTTAGCTCCCTGTAGGCATGTTAACTATTCTTCCACTTGACCAAAATAATAGTGGGGTGTTAGAGGAAGCTTAAGCTCCCAGGGAGGGATCATCTCTCACTGGAGCTGGAAATCCACTGCCCAAATCCAAGGGAAGAGGAAGGGCTGTCCCTAGGCAGCCATTGGCTAAAAACAGAAACAAACAGCTTTCTTAGAGCTGGCTAAACACAGTGACAGCTGGACTGTGGAGGGTCACAGAGGGAGAGAAGGTCTCATGGTTGGAAAGGGATGTGACCACCAAGGGAGCAGGAAAGTTTGGAGGAGCACAACTGTTTGCAGAATGCCACTCCATCACCCTGCTCCCACAGTTACAGGTGCAGTCACCTCCCTGAGTAACCCACCTCCCTGCCAGTATCTTGGACAGAAAGGCAGGAGCTCCACGGGCCACTTCTCAGTATGTCTCAGATGTGGAAGCAACCTCAGGACAAACCAGGTCTGGATTCTTCAGATGTAAATCTTTTCTAGGTCTGGTATCTATCATCACATGTTCGCATTCCTCTGCTCCTCTAGGAGAACATGAAGTTACTGAATACCAAGCTAATCCTGGCAGTTCATCAACAGACAGACACACTAACAGGCACAGACACGTAGAACAAAGAACCAGCAGCTGCCCTCATGAGGACAACACAATCCAAGGAGCCACAAGGAGGCACAGTCAAGACCTGACGGCAGGCCCTATGCAGATACCACAGCTCACTCCCCCAGGGACACTGTCCTACAGGATTATTGCAGGTGACAAGCCACGGATGGGAGAGCTCACCCAACGTGTCCATCCAATGGCACAGCCCCAAATGCTTTCTTGCTACTAGAGCCTGTCAGAAGTATCTGTTTTGGCTCTCATACTGCACTTTTCCCTTGGAAGCCTACAGGCTTCGCCTGCTGATGTCGCTCAAACTTGTTCACGGGAAAGACCACAAAGTGGTCTGTGCAGGATTCCACAATGACTTCCTCTCCACTCACTAGGAGATGAACTCTTAATTACTCTGGTTGGCATTAAGGGTCTCTTATATCTGACCTCCTACTCATCTCCACAGCCTCATCTCCTTCTGCTGTCCCCACAACTCCTCAAAGAGATGGGTTCTCCCTCCTACCATTTTGTCCCGAAAACTACACTTCCTCTCTCAAGGCATCCTTTTGACAGGTGGGTGGCTGAGACCCTCCTTGGCAAAGAATGGACAAGGCCAAGAGAACCTGAACCCTCACCACAAATGGCAACTGAATCAACGAACTAAAGGACAGTCTCCTGAGTGAGAGCAAACCCTGAGGACCAGCCCTCTGGACCCTCCAAAGTGCCTCAATACCAGGACCAGAGAGGTGACCTAGAAATGCCAAATCCCCTGCTCTGCTCTAACGCTAGTGCGACTGTGTGCTGACCCTCGTTTCTTGAACGTCCCAAACCCTCAATTAAGACTTGACAAACCTGCTCTGGCGGTCCAGCAAGGGCCCGAAGTGCCCAGGTCCCCAGCATCTCAAAGGGCACCCAGAGGAACGCGGCCTGGCACTAGAACCTGTAGGCTGTCCATTTCTAACAAAAAGAGCTGAACAGACCCAGTGTCCGGAATATCTCTAAGTGCTTAAGAATTTTCCTGAAGTAATCTTTACCTAGCAGGACGAGGAGACCCTGTTCCGCGAGAGGCAGGTAGGCAGGGGTTCCCTTTTCCTTCCCCGGTACCTTCATCACCCTCTACCCGGGATCCACAAGAGCCTGGCCGGAGGCCCTGGACAACCACTCACAGCCTTCTCTCCACTTTCACGGCCCAGGCCGCCCGCAAACCCAGGAGGCCACTCCGCCAGGAGCTACGGTCCCGCCCACTGCCCGCAACTCTGAACTCCGGAGACCCCGGACTCGCAGGCCCGTGCCAGCGCCGCGGGGGTCAGAGGGCGCCTTCTTCCCCCACCTCACCCCACCCCAACCCATCCCGGAAAGGAGAGACCGAACAAGTCCTGCTGCGGACGGGACCGGAAGAGCGCGGGCAGAGCGGGCTATCGGCGAAGGGTCGGGGCCTTAGGAGTCGCCCGGGAGCCACCGTCCCTGCCAGGGGCGCCGTGGGGCGCCGGGGGCGGAAAGAGTAGTTGCCAGCTCCGGCCTCCTCCGGCCTCCGGGTCCCGAGCGCAGCCGTCCCGAGGGGAGGGAGGCGCGGGAGCAGACAGGAGGGAGGACACTTACTTAAAAGGCTACATAGTTTCACTCCCTGCCCTTTCCGGAGCAGCGGCGACACCACCGGCCCCTGGGCTCGGGCCTCAGGTACCGCCACCCTAGCGCGCGGCCCCACGCCACCGCCCACCCTCTTACTCCACCGTTGGGCGGGGCCGCGTCCCGGAGTCAGCCCAATGAGCGGCCATCCTGACCCAGAGTGATGTGCGCGCAGAGCAATCATTAAGCCCGCCCAGCCGGGGGCGGGGCTCAGGCGGCGCACTGCGCTTCCTACTCCGGCGAGAGCCCAGAGCTGCCGACTGCGCATGCCCACACCGAGAGAGGGCGGGGTCGCGAGCAACTGTGTCAGGGAAGGGGTCCAAGCTTGGTCTCTGGAAAGCGGGCTGGATTGAGATTGGGGACCCAGGAGCCATACCTCCTCATGTATCGCCCTTTACTGCTTGCTTTGGAGGACGGAGGTGCCCAGTCCTATGAAGAACAACACTCCCGTCGCTGGCAGGGGCTGGGAGTCATGATCCTTTATCCTCTATTAATAGACGAGGTTCTAAGCCCCTCACTTGCTTGGATGTAGAATGACACAACCCCTCACCCCTTTATTTTTTTTTTACCTGGGCCTCAGTTTTCCCCATCGGTAAAATAGAGGGTTAGATATGCGAAGCGCTATTATTCCCAACTGCAACGGGGGGTGGGGTGGGTGAGAAGGAGGGAGAGACAAGGGACCTACACGTGACCTCCCGCGCGGGCCCCGCCTATCCCTTGTCCAGGGGATGGAAGCATCCCGCGGGGACGAGCGGGCGGGATGAGTGGATCCTAAGAAGCACGACTCAGCCATCCTGGGCAGCGGCTAAAGCGGAGCGCGCCGCTCGCGGGTTAGTCCTAAAGACGGTACCCGAGGATGGGGACCACAACCCGGGCTTCGCAGGGGGCCGCCGTGGAGGCCAGGGCAGGACAGAGACTCAGCGTGTGACCTGAGCGTATCTGGGAGGATGGACGAGGAGACCGGAGGCAGCTAATGCGCCGGGCGGCGCACATCGCGAGTCCCTATCTGGCTCCGTCGACAGCACTGCAGCACGGAGCGGGTCTGGGGCCATGAGGAAGGTGCCGGCGGCCCGATCCGGAGCCGCAGGGGGGATTGGCCGTTTGGCTGGGCGGAGGGCCTGAGGCCGGGAGGGGCGCAGGCTGTCAAGTCGCGCCGGAGCGCACCGCTATGGCGAGGGAGGAGTGCAAGGCGCTGCTGGACGCGCTCAACAAGGTGACCGCGTGCTACCACCACCTGGTGCTTACTATCGGGGGCTCGGCGGACTCGCAGAACCTGCGGGAGGAGCTGCAGAGGACGCGCCAGAAGGCGCAGGAGCTGGCGGCGGCCACCGGCGCGCCGCTGACGACCGCGCTGCGAGACAAGGGCCTGCGCGCGGAGGAACGCGCCGAGTTCGAACGCCTGTGGGTGGCCTTCTCCGGCTGCCTCGACCTGCTGGAGGCGGACATGCGGCGCGCGCTGGCGCTGGGCGCCGCGTTCCCCCTGCGCGCGCCGCGGCGGCCGCTGGTGCGCACCGGCGTGGCGGGCGGCGCGGCGGGCGTGGCGGCCCGCGCCCTGAGCGCTCGCGCCCTGCGGCACGAGGCGGAGCGCCACTTCGACGCGGACGATCTGCGCGAGCTGGAGCGGGATATCCTTCAAGTGGGCACGATGATCTACGACCTGGAGATGAAGGTCAACGTGCCCCGCTGGACGGTGCAAGCCCGGCAGGCGGCGGGCGCCGAGCTCCTGACCGGTGCCGGAGCCTCCTCGGCGGGTTTGGTGTCCGTGGAAGAGCGCACAGGGCCCTGCGACCCGAGCAAGGCCCTGGCTGCCACCGTGTTCGGCGCCGTGCTGCTGGCCGCCGTGGCCCTGGCGGTGTGCGTGGCGAAGCTGAGCTGACCGACACCCGAGAGCCTGCCGCCCAACTCCTTCCGGACCGCCGCCGCTCCTTCCCCAGAGATGCTCCTCTCCCGGAGTGACGCTTCCCGCCGGGACTTGGGATGGGAATGGAATCTGGCATGTTTAAGGGGAGCGATTCTAAAACCCCGTGTGTGTGTGTGTGTGTGTGTGTGTGTGTGTGTGTGTGTGTGTGTGTAGGGGTACACGCGTATTTCAAGCACACACCTACCAGCAGAACGAGGTTTCCTCCTGCTGGCCAGGGAGGAGTTAACTTGTGCAGGCTGCCAGGGCATTACCGCTAATGTTTGCGGGAGCTTTATCCTCTATTAATAGAAAACGGTCCACAGTGACCCCAGGTTCCTCTGAGTTAATGGGTTACCGCGTGTGCTGCTGGGGCGTGTTTGCACAGAGTCGCAGTTTGGTGCCACCAATCGCTACCGGAAACTCCCACGTTCTACACGGGGCAGTTTGATAAAGGCGGTGATGAAAAGAAGGGTGGAGAGGGGGGCTGTTTTGCTGGAAAGGGGTTGTTTCTTCCTGGACAAGAGGCAAATTGCAACAGGATATAAGCAGGTTTTTGTTTGTTTTGTTTTTACTTTAATCCTTTGGGGCCTACGTTTAGGAGAGGGAAAATGGACGTTCATGCAAAGTGCTTTCTGGATGGTTCACGATTGCGCTTCTTGGCAAAATCACCAAAAGCAGCTAGAAGAGGCTTGGGGTTGTGCCCTCGCTGCAGGGTCTGACTCTGCTTAGGAAACCAGAGATGGGCCACAGGACCTTCCTTCACCTTCACCAGGTTGGACCCCCTGCGCACACTGCCTATTTAAAAGGGCTCTCTCTCGCCTGCCGGGGCGGGGCAAGCTTTGGGAAGGGCCACATGCTGTATAAACAGGAACTTTCTCCTTCCCTTTGGCTTATTTTTGTTCCTCCTTTTCGCGGAGGGCTAGGGAATCCTCTTTGGAGCCCTTAATCCTGTCTATCCCTTGGAATTTGCTTGCCAGCCAGTAGGACAGCTGGCTTTGGAAGGAGCTGCACAGCTCTCTGACCCAAACACTGCCCCCTGAGGGGACACAGTGGCATCACTGGCGTGCAGAGAAGTAATCGTTTTAACTTGGAATTTAATGTTTTAAAAATAATCACTTTAAAGAAAAATCACATTGTGTACTATCAAAGTTGTGTTTTTTGTTTTTTCTAAAAAACGTTTGGCCACGAATTTATACGTGCCAATAAATCAGACACAGTCTTTATTTATATACTTTGGTTACTAAATATATATTTCCATTTAGTTTTAAAATTGATCTTGAAGGCAGGAGTCATAACAAAAACTACTAGAACCACAGGTGTAGGTGACAGAAATTAAGCAGCCCTTCCTTCTCTTGGTCAATAAATAAAGAAATGTAGAAAACACCCTGGGTCTGAGGCTAGAATTTGCCTGAGCTGGGCTGCCACCTCCTACCTGTGTTACCCAGAGAATGTCTGTTGAGAAAAAAGATGTATTTACTCCCTGAAGGTAATAATTAACTGACAAGGATTTTTTTTTTCTTTTCTCTCTCTCTCTCTCTCTCTCTCTCTCTCTCTCTCTCTCTCTCTTTATTTCAGAGAGGAAGGGAGAGGGAGAGAGATATAGAAACATCAATGATGAGAGAGAATCATTGTTCGGCTGCCTCCTGGACATTCCCCACTGGGGATCGAACCCTCAACCACCCATGTGGCCTGACCAGGAATCGAAGCAGGACCTAGTTTGTAGGTCAATGCTCAAACACTGAGCCATGCCCCTGGGCCCTCAGCCACTTTTTTTAAAAATATATTTTTTTATTGATTTTTCACAGAGAGGAAGAGAAAGGGATAGAGAGTTAGAAACATCGATGAGAGAGAAACATCGGTTAGCTGCCTCCTGCACACCCCCCACTGGGGATGTGCCTGCAACCAAGGTACATGCCCTTGACTGGAATCGAACCTGGGACCTTTCAGTCTGCAGGTCGACGCTCTACCCACTGAGCAAAACCAGTTCTGGCTTTCTTTCTTTTTTACCCCCAAAATAAGAAAAGGGACCAAGAGGAGAGAATTGGCAGGTTTTCACAAAGGCAACTTGGGAGGGCCAAAGGTAGAGGTAAATAGCAGCAGGAGTGCTGTTTGGGCGCAAAGTCCTACCTAAGGACAATCCTCCCAGCCCAACCCAATCCCACTCCTCAGTACACAAGTTCCAGAAACTTAGAATATGAGATGCTTGCATAGCGGTTTTAAATGATTCACAGGGTCTTAACCTGAATAAAAGTTTTATGACAATAACTAATTCAAAGGAACTTATGCCTCATCCAGTCTGGGTGAGTCTGAATAGCAGCCAACATAAAATTATTTTGCATCTGACAGTCCAGGGTACTTTCAGAGATGACACTAAAGTTTTCTAACTTTTTTCTTCCTTTTCCCATACACAACACAACATGGAATCTCTGTCATTTTCCCCAAAGTCTCATCCCAGGCAAGAGGAGGCTGGGGCATTTTGTGACCCAGTGTTGGAAAATATCCCTAAAAACTGAGCCCTAAGTAAATTCTTCCTTTTCTAAGACTGTGATTCTGTTCTTTTTTTTAAGAATATATTTTTTTTAAGAATAGTTTTATTGATTTTTTTTTTTTTGAAAGAGAAGAGTGGAGAGGGAGAGAAAGAAATAGCACACTCCCTACTGGGGATGGAACCAGCAACCTCCTGGTGTGCAGGACAACCCATTGAGCCACACTGGCCAGGGTCTGACTATGTTCTTATCAAGGTGTTTTGTTCATGAGAAACAAATTGTTCAGCAGAACCTGTTTTTTAAAAAAAATCTTTAGAAGTTGTGTAATCCATAGAGAGCAATTGGTTGTCACTCTTTCCACCCACTTGGCAGATCCTTGGGTCTTCACTTATATTGTATGTGCAATTAGATGTGCACCTGATTCTGAGAGTCCTCTGCTCACTGAAATTAGTGACAGAGTGTTGCAAAATTAGACCAAATTACAATAAACATATTTTTTGCTGTAGACTTGTTAGCTTAGACAACACCCTGAGTTTGAAAATGTTAAACATTAGGACTATTTGGCATTATTTGTAGATATAACATTGCCTAATAGAACTGTTGCTCGATGATACAAGCAAAATCACTTGCTGCTTGAGCAATAGGCTACTCTTTCTCTCTGCTCTGATTCCTATATATATTTCAAGAAATTGCTTTCTTGTAGAAGCCTGATTTAATTTAGATGTTTGATATGTTAATAATTCTCTAAAAAACACTTGGTATGATCTTATACCATGATACAAGTGATAGAAAAGAAAACAAATTCAACATGTTTAATATAGGGTATAATGAAGCGGTCAATGTTAAGGTCTATGTCAGAGAACATCTAATTTCCCAAATTAAAAGTACAAGCTAAAGCATAGAGTTTTACTTCCAAAGTAAAATGCTGTTGTTAAGTAAAATCTCTTGTGAAGTTAAATACTTGTAAAGAGGAAACATCCCTGGCTTTTCCTTTGGGAAAACAGCACTGCTTTTTGTGACACTGAAAAGACAAGAACTTGATATGTCAAGGCACTTATCATGGGAACTTTGAATTATTGCTATTAGTTTAAAAAAAGCACCAACTAATAATGTTTGTGGGAGAAAAAAATGCCTGCTGGCAAATTTTTTTATTTTATTTTTTTATGTGCTCTAAAAACTTACACTTTTAAAATGCCAGAAGGGAAAATATTTTTGGTAAATAAAAGTAGAGCATAAACTTTATGATTTACCTAAAGTTTACAATAAGCTACATATGAGATGGATGATGTCGAATGACTAAAAAGTACTTTTGATTGAAGCAAGAGAGAGAGAGAGAGAGAGAGAGAGAGAGAGAGAGAGAGAACCCTAATAATGCTGCATTTTCCTTTTCAATGTGCACATTGGTATGTTTTTATTACTTGGTTGCTTTTCAGAATGTAGTTCTCTCTTTATTGAGTGCTTGTTAAGGTTGTGAGCGCCAGAGTGTGAGTCTGGATGTCAGTCTGAGAAATAAAGTAATTAGGACTGGTCCCTATGAGGGCATGCCTCCTCCGGCAAGGCCGGACCAGCTGCAACTGTCAGGGACTCTGCCTCTCTTTCCAGGTACCTCAGACAAGTCACTGACCTCCCTGTGCCTCACTTCCCTCATTTATGACATGGCTATGTGTGTGTGGGGGTCCTCACTAATGCCAAGGTCCCTTCCAGATCTTAAAACGTTTAATGGAATGCCGTTAAACAAGAAAGGGTTATTTTGATTGTTTGTTGTGTTTTGGTGCATATTGAAATGAAATCTTACAGTTTGGTGGTTATTGTCTAATATTAGTCTGTGGGTAAATTCCATATGATTTTTAAAAATTAGAATGAACTAAGCTTATTTTGATTTTAGTCCGTATCAGAACTAGTGGGTGGACATAAAAAGCAAATTTGTGTCAATGCTACTTAAATTAGATTAGAAATTTAAATACAGACCCTAACTCTAAGTCCAAGGAAGCCCAGTATTTATTAAATAGTTTGTTGTACCCAGCAGCTGGACCATCTAAATTGATTCTGGGAAATTACAGACGTGAAAACCTGTCATTTGTCACGCAGACTGGGAGAATCCTACTCTGTAAGTAACCTGGTGCCCTCAGAACTGTAACTACATTGGCCGCCTGATGCTGGGGAGTGTGAGCACAGCATGGATTGTTTTGTATGTGGCATTGATAGGAGCAGGAAGGAAATGGTAGGCACTAACAATGTTCATAGGTATTATAAGTCATTTCTGTTCTGTCTTCATCAAAGAAGATACACTCTGACCTGGTAACTGGCTCTCTCTGGGAGTTTTCCCCAGGATTGCTGTCCATTCTCTGATTCTGGGAACGGGCTAAGCTGTTTGACATCATAAAGGATTAACTACCTGGTTTTCAGTGCTGTCGGATCTGGAGTTCAGCACAGTCCAGGGCTTTTATCTCCTTCCCGCTAGGAAACGCCAGCTAGACACTCAGCCTCCCCCTCCTCTCCGGCTCCATCCTCTCCGAACGCACGTGTCTCCGTACCTTAGGCTTTTACAGCTCCTCTGATTTTCCTTCTGGTTTTCTCTTTCCTTCTCGTTGTAGAATTTCAGTCAGTCAACTTTCCTGTAGTTCTGGGTAATGTCCA